ATTATTATTATTATTATTATTATTATTATTATTATTATTATTATTATTATTATTATTATTATTATTATTATTATTGTAATAATAAAATGTAAAAGAAATTAATTTTAGACGACCTGCTATTGGAGATCTTGGATTATGTTGTCCCGCCAAAGATAAAATTAATTTGGATCGAAATCAAGTATTAGGAGTTTTACCTTATATTGCACCCGAAGTATTACGTAGTAATCCTTACACGAAAGCATCAGATATATATAGTTTTTCAATGATAATGTGGGAAATGTCAACATTAAAGAAACCATTTTCAGATATCGCACATGATTCAACATTGGCATTAGATATTGCTCTCGGTTTAAGACCTAACATATTACCTGGAACACCAAAAAAATATATTGAAATAATGAAACTTTGTTGGGATAATGATCCAGGAAAACGACCGAATGCTAATGAGTTAGTAAAGAAACTTGAAGAATTAATGAATGATCGAGAAGTTAATAGTAGTAATAGTAGTCCTACGCATAATTTTAATTTTCATGAGACACCTGATCATCCTGAGGCTTATTTCACTAGTAGAATTTTGGAATTTCCACATTTGAAAGAATTTGAATTTAAAGAAGTAGATTTACAATCTCAAGAGCGATTACATATTGGTAATAATCAAATTCGTTATAAGTAATTGAAAAAGTTTAAATACATAAAAATGTAAATTAATGTGAGCTGATGTTTTTTTTTTTTGATGATAAATAGATGATTTTAGGACTTCGGATTTCAGAACTTCGGATTTTCGAACTTATGATCACAAAACTGAAGTAGATTCTGGATTTAAAGATGTCGATTTACAATCTCAAGAACAATTACATACTGGTAAAATTATTTGATGATTTTCGATTTTTTTGATTGCAATATTTTAGAGTTAAAGGTAGATTACATAAAGGTGACTTTTGTTTAACAAAATATTATATTTTTTTATTTTCACAGAATATAATACGAAACAATATCAACTTTCGTTAGAAGATCTTCCATTGGATGATGAAGTTATTCCTTATGCTGTAGGGTTTTAACGTGTATGGAAATTACTCTTTTTAATAGACACATAGATGTTTTATTTATTATATTAGATTTTTTTTTTTTGTAATTCTATTAAATATTATATATATATATATATATATATAAGATTCAAAATAATATTTAATTAATTTATTATTTTAAATGTATATATATATACTGGAGTATTCGTTCGGAATTTATTACAATAAAAAAAAATTTATGAAAATTCTTATTCATAAAAATTTTTTTTAATCTAAATTTATTTTAATTTTTAAATTTAAAACCTAATTGATTTAAATTACAAATTTTAAATTTTAAATTTACTGATATAAATAAATTCTTAAATTTTAGTACTTTCGTGCAAACTTTCCCTTCCCATCTGAAAGCTGCTTCTTTCAGCCAACAAATCCTCGACCCACCTCTCCTCCCCATACTCCATCAACATCTTATTATCAGCTCCCTCATAATCAACTCCTTCATCATCCATAATCAACCGAATTATGACTTCGGGAAGCATCACATCATTTAAAAATCGAAGTTGAAGGTCCTTTGAATAATTATAGAAAATTGATGTGGATGCTTCCGAAATCATTTTACATCCTCGAACTATTGGTTTACGATCGATGGTTTTTGCTACTTCGGGGATGAACATACCCCGTAATACCTTCGCGATCATATTATATTCGCTCAAATTGAAGGGCCCTTGTGAAATTTTCTTGGCCAAGAGAGCCCTACTTTTTCCACCCTCGATAAAGCGATCGTAACGCCAGGCAGATTTCTCGTTCCCGGTCAAAACTTTGTACAAAATTTCTTCTTTTTTACAGATCGTTTCAATAAGTTTAGGATCATGATAGTCCGGGTCTTCGGGCGCCATACTAATTTCACCCAACTTTTTTTAATTTTATTGAGGAAAAAATTTTTTTTTAAATAAGCAAATATATATCTCTCTCTTTCTCTTTAAGTCGAATTTTTATATCAAGATTTGAAATAATTACCTCACACGTCTGGAATTCTTTTTCATAACGTGTATAAAATTTATTTCGTGGAATGACTCTCGTGTAGCCATAACATAATTTAACCTTATATTTATCGTACTGTAAAATTTTATAATTAATAATAATTAATATAATCAAATATATAATCTAATACAAACAGTGGATGGGATGGCCTCTTTTTTTTTTTTTATATATTTTGTTATTACTTTGATGTAATCCAAAATTCTGGCGGGATAATAGTATTTTTTCACCATGGCTAAAATAGGCTCTCCAGGAATCGTCAAACTATTATCTTTATTAAAATCATCATCTAATTCGTTTGAGTCCTGTCTATTGAGCGTCGGATTCAATTTTGAATTACTTGATCCTTGATTATTATCTTGAGTGATTTCCTTCTTTCTATTTTTTATATTCAAATCTTCACTAGGAAATTCATCATCACTACTTAAATAATTTGGTTTCTTCGTTTTAGATTTTTTTCCCTTCTTCCGACCACCTGAGGGAACGGATTTGATAATTTTAGAGAGTGCCAATTCTTCGCTAGGCAACTCATCATCGCTACTTAGTAATAATGATTCATTTAGACCTTTAATATTACCGGTCTTACGTTTTTTCAGTTGAAATTTATCAAGTCGGAGTTTGCTTTTATTGAATGTAATATTCTTTGACTGATTACTGGGTTGGGGTGACAACAATTCATTAGTAGTAGTAGTAGTAGTAGTATGATCAGTCGTTTCGGTAGTTTCATAATCAGGTTGTAATGAGGGGATGGAGGAAGTCTCGGAGCTTGCCTTTTTAGCAGTTTTTCTCGTTTTTCTTGTTCGAACGTTCTGCTTGACATTTATAACATTATTGCTTTTCGGTTTTTCCTCAGGAACAGCAGCATTCGGTGACGCAGCTTCCTGTTGTCGAGCTTTTGAACGCGTAGTTCGATAACTATTTGAAGTAATTTGTTGTTTTTTTGATTGTTGTGACTCATCGTCTGAAGAACGAGCACGTTTACGTGTATTCTCTATCGTCATTGTTGTAAAAGTGTTAACAGTTGAGTTGATTGATAAAGGTTAAAGTTAGATGTTCATTCAATTATTACTAACTAAAGTGACGACTAAAATGTGTAGAGACTGCATAAAAGGTGGGAGTCACAGGAAGTCACAGGTCTCGTTTGTTTCCTTAATTTGGATATAAAGATCTGATATTTTGTTGATGTTGATGCACTGACGGTATCACAAATCAACCTATCTGATAAATATACTATACACCCTCGTGATACAATACGTATTATTGAGTTTTAATTTCGTGATATCATATAAAATCATGCCAATTATCCAATTATCATAAGTTGTCTCAGATTTATAATAATTTATAATACAATACAAAAAAAGCTAATGGGAAATGGAAAACAAACAATAAAATCAATAAATTTGTATCATCATTGTTTTTTTAATTCGATCGCTGTTTTATTTTTTTTTTATATAATAATAGAGAACTTCGTAATAATACTTTCAAAAAGATATAAAAATATGAGATGTTCTCCTCAAGATTTATTAAATCAAACAAATAAATAAAATGAATAACGAGAATGTAAATGCTTCGCCTACATATTATTTAGCAAATATGGAGCAATTTTCTATCTTCGACTTCATTCAAAATAATAATAATAATAATAATAATAATAATAATAACAATAATAATGATTTATCAGAAGGCAGGTTTTCTTCTGATCTTTCTTCTTCCGAAATAGTTTGCCAATTTAATCAATTTAATTCACCTGAAATTAATTCATCTTCACAACCACAACAACAACATGAACAAAATATCAATCATTTCATAAATGAACTAAATGAACTATCAACAACCAACAAGACTAACGATACTTTAGATCATGTCCCTCTCTTCTTTGATTCTTCTTTATTCCCTTCTAATATAATTATAGATAATAATTTACTATTTGATACATCAAATCAATCTTTATTTAATCCGTCCACCGGAAATTTTATTACCTTTGAAGAATTGGATTCTTTGAATTCTATAACTAATAATGAAGGAAACAACAATGACAATATCAATTACGAAAATTTTAATAACGATTTTAATTCATTTTTTGAAATTAATACGGAAAATATCGGAAATCCAATTGAATCTAACAATAATACATTAACGAACTTAATTTTGTCAACAATATCTGATTCACAACAATCTTCTTCATGCTTCAATGATGATGTTGATAATAATAATAATAATAATAATAATAACAATAATAATAATAATATTGTTAATTCTATTAGTGATGGTAATGATGTTGATGATGAGAATTATACTTTGACAACAAATATATCAAACAAAAAAAGAAGTTATGAATTTGACAATACAATGAACATTAATTCTACTGCTAATAAGCAACGTAAAATACAACAATCGAATCAACAAATTCAACAACAAGAATTTGAAGATATATTTAACAAATCTTTTACTCCAATATATGAAACTATTTATTCTGAATCAAAAACTGACATTTTCCTAAAAATTGATCGTATGGAATTCTTTAAACATATGAGTGAAAGGCTTAATTATACTGCATTATCCGTGAAAAGATCCTTACGACATCCATCAGATTTTCTTGATACAAAATGGAAAAAATTATATAAATTAATTAAATCAGAATGTTTACAAATTAAAAATTGGTTAGATGCATCAGATTTCAAATCGATTAATTCAATAAAATTAACCAAAGGAAGTAAATTTATTCAGGATGATATAAACAAAGATTTAATAAATTTAATTCCGGAGCACGCGATTTTACAAAATCCATTAAAAATCAAGAACGATTTAAATAATGGATTTAGATCTATTGCACTTTTGTTAAAATCCCCTTTTGGGGAAGAATTTCATGAAGAATTGAAAGTAAGAACAATTCTTGAGATGGTAATTCATGATAAACACTTTAATGGTTTTAAGAAACATACTGAATTGATTTCTCGTAAATGTGAACAAATCATATCAACCGAAGTATATCCGGAATATTTTCAAAAAGAAACTTTAGAGATGTTAAATCGTTTTGAATATTTGAATTCAAATTCACCAGATTATCCGATACAAATGTGGCAAATTGAAGCATTACATACATGTATTAATACTTTAAACATTGGAGTACCTCAATTCTTCATATTATCAAAATTATTAAAAGCGAGAATTCACATCGCTTATCCGGATGCAAAAAATCCTTATTTTAAAGCACCTATACCACAATGTGAAAAAATCATGACTTGCAATAAAATTTTTCATTTATTGTGGTATAATCCTCCACCACCACAAACTACTGATAATAATAATAATAATAATAACAACAACAATGAAAACGATAATGACAATAATAATAATAATAATAATAACAATGAAAACGATAATGACAATAATAATAATAATAACGATTCACAACCGATTTTTAATAATTATTGCATTGCACCTCTTGTTGGACCCGCAGACATCATAAAAATTTTGAAAATCACTGGTAGTGGATCTAAAAACTTGTAGATTTTGTCACGACTTTTTTTTATTTTTTTATTTTTTTTTTTTATTTTTTCCTTCCTTCCTTTGTTAAGAAATTTTATAATAAGATCACATTTATTTTTTATTTTATTTTATTTATCAATTCATAATATATATTATATTCGTTTATTAAATGTATTACGCTACAATATATAAAAAATATAAACGAATAAAATAAAATAAAAAATATTAGAACCTAAAACGTGTTAGCACAGTAAATTATTAGACTTCAGGTTTTTTTTTAATTCTTTAATATACCGATCGATCATTCTCTATACCTTTTATCTTTATAAATTACTTTTCGTGCATTTTCAAACGATGACTCATTTTATACTTTCCCAAAAGAGTTTACTCTATGAAGATTCCCATTATAATTGTGATAATCTAGGCAATTGGTTGACTTGTAAAAATAATGAAAATAATTCAGAAACGATCTGTAAAAGAAGTTTACAGAAAATAAAATTTTGAGAGTTCGCTCGTGACAAAATTTGTTATTTAAATACATATATATTTGTAATCAGGAAGGTTTGTGCATATATGGATAAGCCTGTGACTTGTATTAATTTTCATCCACAATGTACCAAACATTTAGATTTCTAGATATTGAAGAAGATAAAATAGTCATACCGTTTTACTAAATCAGGGCTAGGCGCACAAATGTTAGAAGATAACAATCAAAATTTCAAAAGTTTTATTTGTTTCTTTTGACTCGAGTAGCTTTTTTCAGCGAATTCAAGAAGAATCAAATACTTCATTTTTATGTAATACATTTAATTTATTTATTAATTAATTAATAAAGAATTAATTATTGTAAAATTTGTTTTAGGCGAAACTGATTCTAAAGAAAACTTTGAAAATACTAACTATAATGTGTCATTATTCAAATATAATGAACATCCTCTAATGGATGCAGGATTCTAGTAGTGACTTACTTATTTTGAATGCAATGATGAAAGCGAGACTATGCAAAATGAATCAAAGATTATTCATCAAAAACTGATAACACTTCCTGAAAGCAAATCCCATGTGTAATTGTTGATTATATAGAAGGGAAAATTCAAACATGTGGAAGTTGTCAGATACTGTATATAATGTCAATGAAAATTATTTAAAATTAGTTTCATTTTTCGTATGATCAGAATCAATAAGATAAGTCACAAAGCTTCTACCATTCAAAGGAATTGTATAATACTATTTATAGTTGTGGAAAAGGGTGTATAAATTATTCAAATAATTCATGGGTTTTTAACGAATGCAATCTTTTTTTTTTTTTTGTAATTGTCAATTTTCATGTAAAACTTTAAAGAGTATCAATGTTTTTCAATGTTTCTGCAAGTTCGCAATGTTTACACAATTATGTATTTGAAAGTAGTATGTAACTTAAATGGGAAGCCGAAATAAATATAAAGGTAAGAAAAATTGGAGAAGCACTTTTTGATTTTGGCATATCAGTTTTATTACTGGGTATTAAAAATATAAAATTTATATCACTATAAATATAGTTATTATATGACACTCTCTCTTTCTTCTCTCTCTCCTTTATCATTTCTTTCCCCTCTTTCTCTCTTCTTTCTTTTTTTCTCTCTACTCGTGAATCCAAAGATACTACTGTAGAGGGTGAAAAAGGAAAGAAAAAAAAAAATCGATAACGATAAATTTATGATCTACACGCTGACTATAATATATCCCTGAAATTATAAAACAAGAAGGATCACATTATATATTGATTTAACCCCTGTAGTGTAATGTTCACTTTGAACGACATGCTCAAAAAAAGTGTTGGTCTAAAAATACTTTCTTTGCAATGTCACAGATACAACCATTACCACCAGGTCAAACTCAAGCACAAATTCCCTTAATTCCTTCGACACCACCTGGTCCACCAGGTCAAGTAGTCTCTACTACCAATATCACAAATGTACAACCTCCTCCTCCAGGTCCAGTCCAAGTTTCTTCGATTCCAAATAATGCACAGCCACCGCCCCCAGGAACAACGTCACAACCTGGTGATTTTCAACAAAATTCACCTCCTCCACAGTTACGAGCTACTACTCCGTCTATGATACAAGCAAAGGAAGTGAAGTCTTCAAGCAGTAACACCGCTCAAAATAATACACAGAAAAAACCACAACCGCCGAAGAAATCAACTCAACCTCTTCATTTGCTTTTACTGGAATGCTGTAAGGAGGTAAAAAATAGAAATAAATTTATTTTTTAATTTAAAAAGGGTATAGATTATGTAAACCGCCACCTCATTTGTTAAAGGGAAAATTTAAAAAATTTCGTTGTTGAATGGCTGTTTAGTATATCACTGGAAATCTAACGACAAAATCTGAAGAAGATACAAAAGAGTTATTTAACGATCGAAGGAAATTGCATGCTGATTTGCAACTCTTTTGCACCGATAATGTGCTAACATCAGCAAGGGATCGAATTTTGAACGAATTAGATGAAGTAAGAAAAAGATACTTCCGCGATGTTTATAATCTAATTATTTTTACTTTCTTTCTGAAGAATTCGTACTTTAATATAGGGAGGAAAAGAAGCCTTAAAAGATATTAGTCCAGATTCCGAAGTATGTTGAAAAAAAAATTTTGTTTTTTCTTTTTTATTTTCATGTTATCATTTTATTACGTTATTTAATTTTTTCTACTTAATTTCTTATAGATAATAAAATTGAGGTTTCAAGAAGCCGCAGCCCTTAATAAGAGTTTTGCGGATGCCATCCAAGAACTTAAATCGAATAATTCTAACACAGATCAAACTTTTCAAGAAGGATCTTGGAATGACGAGAATGAAAATAATAATAATAATAATAATATCACAGAGTGTAAGATACCTTCAAAAAAGTTATTTTTTTATTTGGACAAATAATTTTGGACTAGATATGATTGGTTGATTATTATTTCTTTAAAAAAAATTTTATAATAGCGTTAGGTAAAATTTTTCGGTCATGGGAGCAGTTTAACAAAAGTGATGTTCAAGAGGGAGCGAACACAGGTCACACAGAACAAAATCGTAATCGAGGTAGGGGAAACAATCGAGGGGGTTATTGGACGGCACGAGGTGGTCCTCGTCATTCACCTTACCAAAATCAAGGACAGCAACGTCGTCGTGAATGGGTCGCACGTGAAGACAGAGACTACAGAGATCGTCGTCCTGATGATAACTATAGAGATCGTCGGGATGATCATTCGCGTAGAGATTTTGACCGTAGACCAGATTTTCGTGGTCCATCGGTACCCTCTACGGTTTTTAATCGTGATAGAATTCATATGGGTCGACGGGATGATTCTTTTCATCGAAATTTTGATGACAGAAGAAGAAATTCTCATGAGAGACGTCTTGATGATAATAGACATCCCCGAGATCACCGTGGACCACCCCCACTTCCATTAAATGTGGGACCACCCTCGAAATCCTCACCGTCAATTTACGAAGCACCCCCAATGCCTCCAATGCCTCCAAATGTTCCAAATCCGCAAGTTCAATCGTCACCACAAGCTGGATACGATTATTCACAATACTCTTCGGATCCACAACAATATTCTGGTAATAAATCAAAATCATTTTCCCGCACAATCATTAGTACTTTTTTTTTTATAAAGAAAGATTTTTTCAAACTTAGCTACTGGATTTCAAACTGAATACAATTTACAAGTCTATCCAGGATATTTTGCGCAGTATCCTCAAGAATCAACGGCCAATGGGCAACAATATCAATATCCTATATCTTCAGCCAGTTGGGAAACGCAAACGACTCCCATTCAGTCTATGCCGATTCAATTGGCTTCTTTTAATTGGAATCAACCGGGACGACATACTGCAATACCTTTACCAACGTAATTATATTAAAATCTCTCCATTTATTTATTTTTGTTAATAATCATGCATTGTAATACTTGAATTTTTAGTGATTTCATGTCGGGTCCTAGCTCCGCACCTCGTCTATCAATGCCAGAACCGCACGACGTGCTGGGAGTTATTAAAGGGGTGATCATACGGGACGCACAAGGCAACATCGGATTGAGTCAATATCAATTTAGCACGATGTAAAGTAAGTACAACGCAAATGAGAAAATAGAAATATATATATATATTTATATTCACACAAACAGAAAGGTTCTGGGAAAACCCAGAATAAAAAGTCAAACAAATTTATTCACATATATATATGTGTATATGTATATGGAAAATAATTACAAAAAGCAACTGTAGTCTTTTTTTATCGATTATGATGATTAAGGTGATTCTTTATTGGCTCGTTCTATTGTGCGAAAAGAAAAAAGAATGATCCTGATAACAAAAACTTTAGGGTGGGCAATGACATGCACATATTTTGAGGGTCATAATTTTTGAGGATGGGATTATCATCATTTGTTTTTAGATATTCTCACTAGATGTGCAATACAAAAAAAAAATCGTTTGATATAGACAAATTTTACAGTATTGACCATTATATATGGAAGATCAATTATTTACGAAGTTTTTAATGTTTTTATACTTTGTTCTTTCTTTAAGAAGAAATTTTTAGTATTGGGGAAAAAAAAAATGAAAAAAATCAAGAGAATTTTATTATTATAATAATAGCGTATAATTAAAATTGATGCATCCAAAGCATCCTATCTTATTTAACATAACTTTATTACTTATAGGTGGAAAAAAAACTGACATGGTAAGATCAAATCCGATTTCACGATTTCTTCCCGCAACAAATTGCGGGTTTTGAGGTAAGTATGTTGTATACCTGAAACCTTGCCTAGTTTATCGCGTTATAATTTTCATAAGAGATGCAGTTATAATCATTGTGAAAGTGTTTTGCATTTTGAAAACTTACCGGTTCTAAGTCACTTGAAATATTCCTTCCTTGTGATACGAGGATCAGAAACTTATGTTCCCTACGCCACTGAACTTCCAGATATTCAGAAAATTGGAATGAAAATACCTGCTGTATCAGATTTCAATTCTTTGTTTTGTTTTTTTTTTTTTTAGATTCCTAATATAATTATAAGTTTATGTTTGACAATAATTTGATAAATTCGATTAATAATAAAAAAAATCTATCAATAAATAAAGATTAAAAATTTCTTAATTTGGAAATTATTAAAAAAAACGACTTAGAAACTGATATTTCACCTATTCATATATATACACTATGGAGATAGATACATCAAAATATGTAAAACCTATAGAAAGTGATAAATCAATAGTTTCTGAAAGTAAAACGACGCCTTTTCGTAAAGTTAATGCTGAGATGTTGATCGATTTACCACCAAAAGCATTTGAGGACTTTGATAAAGGAGTTTATACTTACATGAATGCATTAATGATGCAATACGTTGATGAATTGGATGGAATTGTACTCGCCTACGAAAATGTTAAATTGTGTGATAATACTGGCTATATATATGAAGATTCGCCTTACAGCCATTTCTTCGTTAGAGCCGATTTTACACTTTGGGATGCGTCAATAGGATGTAAAATGGGTTGAGTATCAAAATTTGATAAATACCATCGTTTTTGAGCATTATTACTATACTTTAATTCTATAATTTAATAGTTTTTTTTTTATTTAATAAATGAATGTAGTGGGAAAAGTTGTTCGACAATCTCCTTTACATATCTCTCTTTTACTTTATGATTCATTTAATGTAAAAATCAATCGTCAATGCATACCGGATGATATTTTTGAATGGCGTGACAATGATTCTTTATATAATTCTATTTTTGTTGGAAATCAATTAGAACTTGATAAACTTTATTTAGAAGGCCAGTGGTATGATAAAAGAACTGGTGGAGAAATTACGGATTGTTTAATGGAATTCGAGTCCACCGGGTATGCGTTTTTTAATAAAATATATATATTTTGTAACGTGAACACATGAATAATATTTCTTATTTTAGATCAGAAATTGATGATGGTGTCATATTTGTATTAGGCTCTCTTCAGTATTACAGTAATCTGAAAAATTAATATTTGATAATACTGAATTTAGGTAAATATCTTCATTGAAATATTATGTTGAGATATTATATTGTATTGAAAGTTATACTGGCTAGAGATCCTGAAACCATTCAGGATAGTCGCTCTAGCTGTAGGATCAATATTCAATAGACTATGATACTCATTTTATATATTATTTATGATACACAATATTCATTTTTTTTTTATTTTATAATTATTAGATCCTGTTAAAGAAGAAAGATATTATTATATGTTTCTTAAACATATCTCAAAAAATTATATCTTATGTTATTTGAGTAAAATTATTTTTTTATCAATAAAAAATCTATTCTGATAACTGATAAAAATATTAATTTTTAACAAACTTAAGTTTATTGCTTAATGCAAATGGAAATTATCTAAATATTATATTGAAGTAGAATATGAAAGATTTATTAGTATGATGGTAAATCAATTAAAACATATAATTAAATTCTTAATTTCTAACATAGGGTTTTCTAAATTATATTAAAATTCAAAATATAAATTTATGTTCAAAAAATAATATAATCAAATTAATAAAATTATTAGTATATCAAACTAAAGATATTGTGAATTCAGATGATAAAATTATAATAAAGTTGCTGTTGATAATTTAGAAAACAAATTTAAACTTTTGATTACAAGAGATAGTACTATTAATCTATCTGATAAATGAAAGTTAATATTATACAGTTAGCTCTTGCTATAATCACATTTGCTATAGTCAGTTTATATAAAAACCTATCTATAATCACATTTTTCATAAGATCCAGTGCATAGCACAGGTAAAACACAAAAGAATAGTATACTAAAAAGGAATTCTGATTTTAGCTAATTTATAATATAGAATACAATAGAACAGTTGATTTTTAGCTGGTCCATAATATATAGATTTCCAATTTTTAATATAGGAATTATCATTTGATACAATGATTCTTTTGTATTTAACTAATGTAGTAATGTTATATAAAAAAATCTTTTTTTACAAAACAGGTCAAAATTCAGATTTCAGATACTTATTAGTGACCTATTGAATATCTATTGGATACCTGATAGGTCACGAATAGATTATTAATAGATGCAAAATAGGTGTAGTATAACAATAGTCAAATATCTATCCACTAGTCAAATACAAAAGAATTACTATACCAAATGGTAATTCCTATATTATAGATCAGTTAAAAATCAGTAAAAATCAGTAAAAATCAACTACCCTATTACAACCTATATTTATTAGAAATTAAATAAAAACATTTTACAACACTGTATAAACATTATTTATATGGCATTCTTAAAATGATACTAACATACTAGAATATAATGTTCTAGTGCATTATTTGAATGTTTTGTACTTACAGCATATCATACTAAAATACACTGGTCAAATAATCAAAAATCAGTAAATTTTTTAATAATTTGTGTCATAAAATCAGCTGACAATTTGCAAATTACTGAAATTAGCTAAAATCAGCTATTTGATTTTTTGATGATTTTTGAATAATTTTTGAAAATAAAAATAAAAAAATCAATCATTTTTACCTTTTTTATTAGTGAAACATCAAAACCATTATTAAGTAAACCTATAGCTAAGTACTTAGTGAAAAAATTTTAGACTTAAAGCTCACAAATTAAAAGAAAGATGAACATTTAAATTTTAAATATCTGTTCAAAATTTAAATGTTTACCTTTTCTTTAATTTGTGAGTTTTAGATCTAAACTTTTTCAATAGGTACATTTCTTTTTTAGCTATAGTTTTACTTAGTTTTATTTTTACAATTTAGTTATAAAATTTTAAACTTTTATATGTAGATTTTTTTTTTAGTTCTAGTAAAGTCTTGTTTCAAATTTATTAATTAGAAAAAGAAAAAATCTCTTACATTACTATTAAATAATATAAAATATACAACTTATTCTAATGATTATTTAAAATATGAAATTTAAACTAACTTCCACAAGATATTGTCTCTATTTTTTTTTCTTCTCTTCTCATTTGATACACTTTTATACCATTACACATATCTGTCACATCCTGTTATATTTTTATTTTATTCAAATAGTTTCTCTTTTACCTGTCATACTTCTTTTTTTTATTTTTTTTAATTTAATTATCAATAATTATTATCACTTATTATTACTTACCTTTATATATCTATTTACTTTATATACCTTTTCCTCAAATTTTTTGTTATTGATCTTTAAAAATTTGATCTTTACTTTTTTCTTTTTTGCCTATATTTATATTTTATTTTAATTATACCAATTATATACCACATGACTTCTTATACTATATATTGTAAAAACTGTAAATACTACAAAGAAAATATCAAAATTTGCAAAGATATGACAACTCTCTCAGTAAGACACTACTAAATTAAAGAAGTAGTAATGATTATGAACTGTCATTACTTTCACAGTTGCCATAAAGCTTCACATGTTGTTACTATTTTCTTTATTTAATTTCTTTACTTTTATTTATTTATTTTTATCAATTATTATTATTTTACAAATATTTTATCTTATTTCTACTCTTATATTATTATTTATTATTTCCTTTTATTTTTTTTTCTTTTATTTCTTTTATTTCATTTATTTCTCTTTTTTTATTATTCATTTATTTAGTAATATTTATTATATTGAGTTTCACATTATGTGTCAATTGTAATTATATGTTACATGTATAATTATTGAAATTATTATTAGTTAAGATTATACAAATTATTTGTGACTAATGATCTGTTAGATTTTATTAACACTGGAACAAATTTAATCAATTATACCAACACTCTATATATATTTAAGTTATCTTTATTATTCTAACAAGACTTTTTATAGAAAAAGAATAATTCATAATATTTTCTTTAATGTTATTCTTTAATTAATTAATTTTTATATTATTAGAGTAGATTCATCAAAATATATAAATAAACTTTAATTTTTACTTTCTTGAGAATATCAATTAGTGAATTAGTGAAGTAAAAGAGTGAATAAGTAAAACTTCAATAAAGTGAATTAGTGACATTATAAATAGAATTTTATAATAATATGAGCTTAATGAGTATTTAGTTTAATAATCTTTTTAATATTTTATTAATTAATTCATCTTTTAATCATTAAAATCCTTAAGAATTTATTTTTTTCTTTTTTAAATTGTAGATTGAATTTTTTTAAACAAAGAAATTATCATAATATTTTTAATTTTTTATTTGATCTTGAATAAAAACAATCTTTTCTTTTAAATAAAACAACTATTTTTCCAATAAAATAGATTACTTAACTTTAAATTCTCTTTTAAAAATTAGTGATTTTTGTAAATCTATAAATTGTTCTAAATTTATTTAAATCTTGTTTAAGATCTTGTATAACTGATTGATCTTGTGATTATATAATTAATTCACTTGATCATTGATTGTTCTATATACAAATTCCTGTTAAAATCCTGTGATCTCACTTTTCCTCCCTTATAAATCTTATACTTACCATTACTTTATTTCTTTTATTTAATTTTTAGCTTAAATCCTATAATATTACATATCTTTTTACCTTATATCTTATACCCTTTGATTATTACAAGCTAAACTATAATATTTTCTTCTTTAAAAATACTATTGCTCTTTCAAAAGGTAATATTACTGTTCAGATTTGATATTAATTTAGTATTTAATTTCTTTTTCTTTCTATTTTATTTTTTTTTATTATATTACAGAATATTAATTTTATTTATTTTTATTATATTATTATTTAATGTATTTATTATTTATTTGTAATTTATGTTAATAAAAAATCATGTAACAGGTGGCTCACCAGGTTGATTACCAGGTGAATCACCTAGGTAAATTACCTGTTGCACATAACAGGTG